CTGCCCTTATTGCTAAAAGTGACGTGCACTCTGTCAAAAATCCCGCGGTTCGAATTGCAATTTTTTAAAACTGGATTGAAATTTTTCAAAAGAAGCGCTGAGCTTTGCGTGGTTAATTTGAGTTTGAGTTTGAGCTTTAGAGGATGACGACAAAACCCGCACACATTTTTTAAAAGCACTCAACTTTTAAGGATCGTTCTGCACGTAAGGAAAGCAGATTTATTCTATATTCGATTTATAATTGTTGTCCATAAATTCATTTGTTTATATTTCTTTAACCATCTCCGGTCGACCATAAAACCAAATTTCCTCTCCATTCAAAGTTTTGCGGGGCAAAATGAAATTCCAGGATTTCGAGGAAGAGTGTGGAGCAACCCTCCGCCTCTCCCTCCTTTTAGCTTATCTCGGTCTTACCATTGGAAGTTCACCGATGCTCTGATATTTAGAGAAAAACAACTGAAGTATCCTGTCACTGGTATGAGTATGAATCCTCTTGCTATATTCGTCAAAGAACATTTTGGAAAAAACTCCGCAAAAAATATTGAGGAGGGACAGAAGACGATGAAGGAAGCAGTTGCTGCTTGGAAGACACTAGATTCCACCGAAAGAAAAGTTGTTCTTTATTTTATGAGTTTCTCTTTGGCGGCAACCAACAATATTGTTATTTAGAAGTACGAAGAGCTTTCCAAGAAGTATCGTGAAAAGAAAATGCGCGAGTTTGACGCTTTGTCTGATGAAGAAAAAAAAGAGCGCATCTCTACATCAGTAGAGATGAAGGAAGAAAAGGCTAAGAGAAAGGAAAGAAGGGAAAGAAGAGAAGTCAGCACTTTATCTCAACTGACATTTTTCTTCGTGTTAAGGTTAACTTTTAGAACTGGCAGAGAAGCGGCCATCCTGAGCGGCCGCCATCCGCTTATAATCTCTTCGTACAGGAGAGGTTCACTATATTAAAGAATAAGGGTGAAATTATTACACCTGTTGCAAAAACCATGCGGCGTGTCAGCGCTGAGTGGAGTGCGATGAACGAGACTGCTAAACAGGCACGATTTACCCATATAATATCTCTACATCATCCGTTTGTGCTTGAATGTCTGCGCTCGTTTCAATTTTTTTGCTTTAGCCCTACAATACGAAAGCAGCGAAAATGGCAGAGCAGTATAAAATTGAAGTGGACGCGTGGAAGGCAAAGGTGAAGCCAGAGGAGAAGGAAGTACAGCAGAAGTCGTTGAAGTAATTGTATCCATGACTCTTATTTTCTCATTTAAGGTAGCCACTTTGTTTTACACTCCATTCACTTAGTTTTCCAATGTGGTATATATCTTTGCATTTATTTCCCTACTTGTTGCCCTAATTTTGTTATCTTATGGGAGCCGAACTTGATTCTCTGCTTGAACAACATCTCATCTCATGATTGTCGACCATGC